TTTTGGGGAACAGGTTGCCCCAAAAAAACCCCCCCCCAAGCCCTTTTTTAAAATTTGGTTTCCCCCCGGGGGAAAGGGGGCCCCCCCCCCCCCCCCCCCCCCACCCCTCCACCTGCTGAAGTACACAAGAAGACCGCGACCTCGGCTATGTGAGGCGGGTCGATAAGAAGAAGAGAAAATATGCTAGCCTTGACCGGAATGCGCGGTCGATCTTCGACGTCTAGCAACAACCCAGCACCTAACACCCGTAACACACACGCACAATTCCACACAACATAAACAAAAAAAAAAATCGTCTCCGGCTGCAGAGTCTGTCCTCATCTCTTTCGGTTTGCGCAGGTTGATGCTTATTAAAAAAAAAAAAACATCTACCACCACCCCACCCACCTTTGACGCACGGAACCACGGGCATGTACCGCTCGCTTTGACGTTGCGCGGTCGATGATGCTTGCCACAAAGAAACACAAACACACACACACGCACTCCCCCATGCCGCTCCCTCGCGGGGTCCCAGTTAATGGCATTTAGGAGTGTTTTTGTGTTTTCAACCGCACTGCGACTGCGTGTTTTCATTGGTCAGCCGGTTACCGTGGTCGATACAAATAATAAACATGCACACACAGCGCGGTCGGTGCTAACAAGAAAGACACACGCACAGCTGCATCCATCTTTTCGCAACCGGCGTTTATCGCTCTCTTGGTGCAGGAAGCAGCCACGGTGGAGTTTGTGGTGCCAAACGCCCAGGTGACCACGACCAAGACTTTCCGCCAAGGGATGGGACAGCAGCCAGAGCCCTACGCCGTGTCCATAGGCTCGACTCGCGTCCGCCGGCTGTCGCCGTTCGCCGTCCACGCGGAGTACCAGGTGTGATTCCTGCTGCTGCTGCTGCTACTGCGCTCTGCTGCTGCCACTGCTACTGCGCTCTGCTGCTGCTGTTACTGCACTATTGCTGCGGCCGGTGCGGTGGTAGAGGGCCCGACGCTGTGATTCCGTCGTGAAAGGGGTTGGTTGTAGGGCACTTGGCTGAATTCTGCCGGCGGAAAAGCAAAGGTGTATCGCACCACATAGCAAGTAACTCTGCTGGCTGATGAAGCTGAGGTCCATCGCACCAGATAATTTAGCGATTAACTCTGCTGGCAGAGAGCAAGACGTTGGTCCCACTTTACACCGCTGCAGGGCCCTTTGAGCGCTGGACATGGACGTGCCATCGTCCCAACAGCCTGTACCGAAGCGCGTCTCCCGCGACCGCTCAACCTCCTCGCCCACTCAGCTCCTTAAAAAGTGTTTTGTGGGATGTTATATACCTGTAGAACGACTTAAAATTCAGTATCTACACGTAGCTGCGCGGGTGTCTCAGCCTCTTACCTTCCTAATGATGTCTTTTGTTTTTTTTTGTGTGTTTTTGGACGACAGTACTTATCGCGCTTGGAGAAGGAATCGGTAAATACAATGTTGTGTCTAGCTTGCGTCCTTGGGGAGCGAATCGGCAGATGATGAGTTTTTTCTCTTGACTTGCGCATCCCCGGCGTAAATCGATCGCGGAACAGGTGCTCGTGTCGACGAAGGACCAGGTGCACAAGTCGTGGAAGCGCTATTCGGACTTCAAGCTGCTGGCGGAGTACGCCAAGATCTCGGACCTGAGAGATACGGTCAAGGCGTGGGCACACATACAGCAGGTGGGCCACGGCCGTATGGGGAAGCCGAGGATATGAGACAGCAGGGGCCTTGTGTTGGGTATATAGGCCGGTGATTTTGAAATTGGTAACTATGCACAAAAGAAGTCAAGCCTTGAGTTCGAAACTTGCTTTCTGGGCAACAGAATTTTGGACCGTGAGACCGGTCGAGATGCCGAGTGACTAGTCGAACGGTCTGATTTCGGTTGCTGAAATAAGGTAGGTTGTGGGGTCGAATCTTTCTCATTTGGCATCCGAAATCGGGCGGTTAGAACAGACAGCGCGACGGTCTAGCGGTGTGATTTCGGTTGCGAAAGGAGTGGAAGTCATGGTTTCAAATCTTGCTTTTTTGCAACCGAAATCAGACCATTAGACCAGTTCAGCCGCTAATTATTCCAACGATTTGATTCCGGTTGCTAACGGGCCCTACGCCACGACCGTGTGCTCGACTGAGGCCTTTCGTTGCATCGGGCCCTGTGCGTGGGCGTGAAGGGTTTCTTCGGTGGAGTCGGTGGAGAACGGACACATGCAACACGTTTCTGCGGGTACCGCTAAACAGCCGAGCGTGTGCGTGTTTGTTCTTCTTTCGTTGGAAAGAAGCCCGTTTCATCTTATTATACCAACCCACCCCAAGCTCTCGTCCGCCTGATGCACCTGGGAGGCTTCAGTCGAGAACACCGTTCATTTAAAAGAGCAGCACAGCAGGTGGCGGTAGCCGCCGCCGCCCCCGCGGCTGATGTCTGACATGAATTTTTCTTCATGTGGTTTACGTCAGTCCCCGTCCTCTTGTTTTGAGACATGGCGACCCCCGATTGTTGGTTTGACATGAAGTTTTTCGACGAGTGGGTTGCCTCAGCCCCCGTCCTCTGTTTTGAGACTTTCGTCCTTGGGCGGCTGTCAAGAGAGCCGAAACATGCTCGATTCCTCTCCTCGTTGGAGGCAGCGTTTTGCCTTTGGATGCGTTGCTGTTGAGGCAGAACCTGCGTATTTCACTTGGAAGAAGGCGTTTTTCTGCCGGCGGGGACCAGTATCGCGGGCCGGTCTAGGTCAAGTGCAGTCAGGCCACGCGGACCGCTTTTGCGAGGGTATTAAGCGTTATCAGTGAACTGGAGAAGAGGGGTTCGTAGCCAACCGAAGCGAAGAGAGGCGGGGGTGCCGTAGCCAACCTAAGCCCATAACCCGTACCAAAACCAAGCTGGGCCAGGCTGACCTCACCTCACCATAAATGACTTGCGACGTGTCAAGTCGCATGGCCCGTGAGAACCCAGAAACACCTGCAGCAAAGACAATGGCACCACTCGTCGTTTTTTTTTTCGTTGTGACCAGCGTGCGAAACTCTCTCCCCCTCCCCCCCCCCCCCCCCCTCGCTCGATCGAGAGCTTGTCTTGTTGCGAGTTCGGGGGCGAGTGGACCGCTTCCCGACACACGCACCCTTGAAACTGTCTTATCTGGTTGCTGCTGCACATGGCATCCGCGCTAAATAAGTCGATGGTGAAGAACTTCATGCGCAACATTATATCAACACATGAGAACTTGGGCACCGTTTGTGAACCCGGTTTGATACTCCCGGCACTAAAACTTACAAGAGACATTTATTGCCCACACGAGGAATAGGAGTACCAGCCTCGGCCAGAACGCCAGAACTAGACGGTCTTAAACGGCGGGCCCTGGTATCTGTACTGCTGCGCTCCTCCTTCGAGCTCGTACAACTTCCATCGAACGCTTGGAACGCTTGTGTCGTACCGCTTGAGCAAGGCCTCCCGTTACACCCGCCCGGGTATCCGCGCGTAGCACACCTACCTGTCATTCCTTAGCAGGCACTGCGTTGGGATGTTGTTACAATCCACCGCTCACCCGGGCTGATGGGTCGGGTTTTTTTTTCATACTATAGTGTAACGCAACGAAACCATCTCGTGTTTTGTTTCCTCCCCTTGACGAGTTAAGATCTCGTTATACCGTCCACGGCGCACCCTGGCTGACTGTCCATGCGTCGTTTGTTTTTTTGTTTCCTCCCCTTCACGCGTTTTTTTTTTTTTTTTTGTCAGACCCAACGGTGGTTCCGGTGCCTCGAAGCCAACTACCTCAAGACGAAGTGCAGCCTGCTGGAGAGGTTCCTGGCTCAGTTCTTGTTCGAAGTGCCCACGCCCTCCCTGCTCATGAACTTCGTGGGCGCGCAACAGCCCGGCTTCGTCCGGCGACGATGATGACTTGCAGTTTGTGCCGTTTCGTCTTCGTCGAGTGTGTAACCGTCTGTCGTTGGATCGGGGGAGTAATACGAACGATCGCTAAGAGCGAGTGTGTGTGCGTGTGTGTGTGTTTTTTTGCCTGTCGGGTTTGTGACTCATGAGCCGCTCGCGATGGCACCCTCTCCGACGGACGAGAGAGTAGGTGGCGAGGGACTAGGGGGCCGTTGCCTTTTAGGCTAAAACCTCCCATCGGTCGTGTGGTTGTGTGATTGATCGGTCCCGAAGCTCGAGGGTCTATTAGGTAGGGTGCAGCCAGTCCGGAACGATGTGGCATTTTTTTTTTTTTTAACCTGTGTATCGGTGCCCATGGACAAAAAACGTGAAGGTGTGGTGTGTGTCTATACCATTGCTTGTACGCTGTTGTCACCAACGCTTTTTCGGTTTGGTTGGCGGTGCATTCCATCCGTCCCCTACCCCCCCGGCTTCTCGACTTTGTGCAACGGCCGTCCGGCACGCCGTCCGTAGCAACGGCGTTGCAACCCGCGCCTTGCGATGTGCCGACCGCGGCCTTGTAGCCGTGCTGCTAAAAATCATTGGCTAGCTCCCGTCGCTTTTGCGCATATATACATTGGTGATCTGACAGTGGTGAGAGAGGTGCGTTGCGTCAGCTGAGGTGGAACCCCCACATCGTTGGCGTCGCTCGTGCTACATTTTTGATGCGTGTACTATGGCGAGTGTTGTATCGTGGTGTGGCACTGAAGCACTGCTGCTGCTGTCGGCACTTTTTCTTTTGCTCGGCGCCCGCCCGCGGTCTGCAGTAGCTCGAGAACGGAAGCAGGCGGCGCACACAGCAGCAGTGCTCGAATGTGCTTGGGAGTGTTGTTCACTGAGTTTCCCTTGTCTTGTGGTGTGGTTCGGTAATTGACCCGTGGTGTGTCGATGTGGTGTGTAATCATGAAGGAAGCGTCGTGGTCGATGAACATGTCTCCATCGACAAGAGGGCGAAGCGCGTCGGTCGTTGGTTGAGGCAACGGGCTGTGTAGTACGACCGGTGCTGCTCTGTATCGAAACACGCGTTGTCGCTTTGTCCTGTGGATAGGTTTGCGTTAGTAGTGGTAGTCTTTGTCGATCTGCATCCCGTGCTTGACGTCTTTTCGGCTGCGCGCTCTCAAGCAGCGAGCGTACTGCCACAAAAGACCAGGTGAGGCGGAGCGTTGAAGGTCGATAGAGGAGATGTATTTTGCCCTTCCTTGAGGATTGTCTTGCGGCAGTCAGGAAAGAGAGAGAGACTATCGAGGCGTTTTCTTGTGTACTTGGGAGTATGTTGGGTGTCTACTTGACTGTGACCGTGTCCGCTAAACGATGAGGGTAAATCGTCAGGTTCAGCTGGCTGTAATCGTGCGCGTGAGTGGTCTGGCCTTCTCGTGGCAAAACACCTGGGATTTCCATGTGTTGCCATGACCCCTTGCTCAAATCGCACAACGCAATCAATAGCGTTGCCTCACTGTTGCAAAACCCGTTTTTTCCCCGGCCGCTGCTGAGTTCAGCGAGGCCTTTCTTGGCAAACCACCGCGGAAATAATGCAGAAGAGAACGAGGGATCCCCTAGAAGGCGATCTCCCCGGGCTAATGTAGAACCTATCAGCATGTTATTTGCATCAATTTTGTGGCCACGGAAGGCGTTCGACCGGCACGGGGGTTAGCAGGTACTGAGTAGACACCGGCACGGTTTTATTGTCAAGACAAGAACAGTTATTTTTCGGGTTGGGGCGAATTTGCTGTCCGTAGATTATCTCAAAGTAGAATGCTCCAGATCAAAGAGCAGTTAGGCTTACCTCCTGTCGGGGTGTCGCGATGCACCGTCTTGTCTTGCGAAATGGGCGATTGTTTCGTCAACCCTATGTATTTCCAATTTTTTAGTGGTTCACATGGCTGAATCAGTTCGCAGCCCTCTGTTGTTTGGTACGTGAGTTCGAACGTCGGGGAAATCGCACGGACTTACTCATTGGCTGGGTCTATTCTCGCGATGTGCCGAAACATGCAAGGTAGTGGATGGCGAATTTTTCGCGCGCGCGACATTGCGATCGACGAGGGAAAGGAAAGTTTGGCCGAACCTTTCTTACAAGCGAAAGTGTTGCAAGCGCCGCAGTATAGATGGGGAAACGCCCTGCTTCGCGGGCTTCCTCTGCGAGGTAAGTTGTTGCAAGCACTTCAAAAGGAGGTTGAGACAAAAAATGCTTCTTTTTTTTTCGTAGGCGTCCGTCCTCCTGTCTGTGTGACCCCGGCTGATCGGTGTGGCCAGAAGACACAACGGAACGGTGAAAAAAGCTCATGCCAAAGAAGAAAAAAAAAGGGACGACACACAACTACACGTGGGTATTACAATACAGGAGGCTACTTCTAACGGAGCGACAAAGATACACACACCAGGAGAGCTGGTCGCCTGACAGGAGGGGCAACTGAAGAGTACGTAGGATCGCCCTCACAATAAATCTAGAGAGAACACCATGAATAGGAACGAATGGCCCTGTGTCACGGAATCCCGACAGCAAACAAATACTACTCTTTACTGGGTACTTCACGTCGATACTTCAGACAAATATATCGGGATTCGAACTGCGGGTGAAACAACCCTTCGAATCAGACGCGGATCTGAGACGGACCAACCGTGCAGGAACAAAAAAACATGGTACATGGTCTATATTCACACATAGACGAAACAATATCGGCCCTCTCTGCGAAATAATATTGCACAATGAATGCGAGCCAGCCGCCCCTATCTCGTTGAAACCTCTGAGAAGCAGAGAGCAAACATAAATAGCGCGCTATGTCCGCGAACGGCGAAACGGGGACACCACGTCAACTTAAGGGAACCGGCAGAACGGAAGCCCTTCGCGCCCCTTGCTAGGACTGGAACTCGCCCGCGAACGCATCCGGCCTGAGCAAAGCGGTGGCGGTGGTGTGCTGCGAAGCCGGGGCGTCATCCTGACTCCCGTTGGTGTGGAAGAGCAGCGGGTAGAAGGTTCGCCTGGAAGAACCCGGTGGCGCGGAGTCCGCGTTTCCTTCCTCCTGGCACTGGAACGCGCCCGTGAATGCGTCCGGCCTTAGCAACGCGGTGGTGGCGGCGTGCTGCGAAGCCGGAGCATCGTCCTGGTTGCCGTTGGTGTGGAAGAGCGGCGGGTAAACATCCTCCGGTCGCAGAAGTGCGTGGCTGCCCACGGCTACCGCCGTCACCAGGTGAAGGTTCTGCTGCCGCAAGAGCTTACCGGCTTCCTCAAGCTGGCGTTCGACCTCACGCTTCCACTCGATAGTATCATCGGTGCTGTTGCTGTCGACAGCGGGGGGGCTTGTGCGTGCGTCGACCTGCGCGGGTGGGACCACGGGCAGAAGCACACCACCTTCCCCCCAGAATACCAGCGGTGCAACGCCCTGTCGCTTTTCTTGCCGCTGGAACGCCTTGACGCCGTCGTCCAGCCTGCGCATGGCGGCTCGCTCCCACCTCATCTCGGTGTCGCCATCGCGGGGCTCCACGTGAGAAAGGCCGGGCGCAAGGTGACTGTATCCGCCATCGACCATCGCCGGTGCCGGTACCAGGTGAGGTCTCTGTTGCAGCAACAACTCGCCCGCTTCTTCCATCGTCATCTCTACACCAACATCCCACTCCGCAACCTCGTTGGTGCTGTTGTTTCCGGGTATCACTTCCACCTGAGGCAGACCGAGGGTATTATTGTCGTCCGAAACGTCATCGCTACCGCCATCATCGCCACCGATGATCTCGAAGGGGCCTTCATTGAGTCCCACCGATTTTATTCTGGCCGTTGCTCCCGGCACGTCAGGGTCTGCTTGCGCCTGAGATGGTGATATACGCACTGCCGCCGGTTGGGTGCTTCCGGTTGTCAAGGTGACGAAGCCCGCGCTGGGTGGCGTGCCTGCCGAGATCTCGACGTCGCTGCCGCGATCGTGGCCCAAGACCCCGAGAGTGTGCTCCGAAGGAGAGGGCGAGGCACCGGCGCTCATTGCCGTGGTGTAGCGGTCATCCAACAAGATCGGAGAGAAGTGCGAAGCCGTGGCGAACTCGCGGGACGGTGCCGTCATCCCACCAGTCGTACACGGAGTCCGTTCCCCGATGATGCTGCGGGCCGAGCATGTTGTGCTTTTCCCGGAACCGTTCTCTGGCTCATCCATATCTTGCCGGTCGGGCGACGAGGTGTTACCGCTCCTGGAGACGGCCCGGCTGACCTGGTGTTGTCATGCCATTGAAGGGAGGGAAGAGAAGATGACGAGAAATGGGAAATCAGTCGACGAACAGGGACTCCGACAACACCGAAACAGTTCATCCGGTAGGGCTAGTACTGGTTGGGGCGAGCAAGAAAATTTCAGGCGAGAGAGATTTTACCTGCTGGTCATCGGTAAAGAACGCCTCCAGAGCCTCTCCCGGTTCTCTTGTAGGTGGCGGCGTGGGACCCTCGGTGTCAGAGTCGTTGCAACCGTATGCTGTTCCGCTTCCCTCATCCTTATCGGCGGCTCCATCGATGTACCGCTGCGCTGCGCCAGTCCCTCTATCGTCGGCGCCCATCCCGACACCAGCAGCGTCGATTGCATCCATTATCGTCGGAACAGCGTTGTGGCTATCTTCCTCGCGATACAACCCCCAGAATCTGGAGCTTTCCAAGTCCACAACACCACTCCTTGTAGCCTCGTTGACCTGCCGAGCTTCTTGAAAATCACGTTCACGGAGCACGGCGCAGAACATGGCGGCGGCAGCCAACTCGGACGGCTTGAACTCCGACAGGTAGCCAAGCTGCACCCATCTCAGCGACGTTACCGTCGTGAGCTCCCTCACTTGAGACTGCCCTCCGGCGAGAGCGCCCTCCGACAACGCGCGGGCGAGGAACAGGTGACCGAACGTCGTGGGCGTCACGGCATACAGCGCCCACTTGAGGCTGGCGCACACCTTGGCCTCCAGCCTGGCAACGCGCTTTTTCGTTGCCGTGTGGTCGGGGTCCCCCACATTGCACACAGTGAGCATCGCGGAGAGGAGGCTGTCCGGCCCATTATCTTCTAACTTTTGGGCCATTAGCAGGCAAACAAGGGGGAGCAGATCGCGGTTGTCATCCGCGATCCCCTCCTCTGCAGTGGTCGCCACAAACCTTGCCAAGTTGATGATGGCGAGGGCTACGGTGTCGGCGGCCACAGGGTGCGAAGGGGCAACACCGGCACCAGCAGTTAGGCCGGTGGCAATGTCGACTATACCAGACGTAAAGGCACTGAAAAGCTGGGGCTGGCGTCCCCTCAGCATATAGAAGCCCATGAGGACGTTGTCGGATTGGCGCTCCTGCTTCAAAAACGTGTGCGCCAGCATACTGTCGGCCTCTTCGGTTGAGAGGGCGATGGCCCCTTGAAGGGGTTCTGCAGCAGGCTGGCGGGCCGGAGGGGTCGGCGGGCGTCGGGAATGTTCGGATGATGGCTGAACGAGGTTGGCGCGCTCCGGCTGCAGTGTTTCCCGCGTCTCCGCGAGAACTGGATTCAAGGCGAACAAGCTGAGGGCCGTAGCCTGCGTTAAATTTTGTTCAGGGGGGGGGAGGGGGGGAGGGTGCACGAATGGACGCAAACAGATTTAGATGCACAGAACCACCACAAAATCAAGATGTGACACGAATCAGGGCGGTCAGGTGTCAGCTCAAGAAGGGCAGCGTTTCGATGTATTTGTGTTGACGGCTACCAACGAGCCATTCCAAACGTTTGATTGCAGAGCCACGCTGTACAATTGTCAAAATGATCTCATTTTGGGTGACGGAGTTAGCTGTTGAATCGTCCGTTCATCTACGCTTGACCAAGAAAACACGAGGTGCTCACAACACCACACGCTGCGAGTTTCTCTCGTTTGCTCGACGTTTGCCCCGATTCCTGCTGAGTGTTTGGTGACGGCCGGCATGCACTCCGTTCGTGAACGGACAAGCAAGGACACAATACCGACCGGTGCCGATCTGCAGGACTGCAGCTTTAAACTTGGGTTGTCTGTGTAGCAAACTCCTACACAGTCTAGAGTTTTGGACCCTCGAGCTCACCTGTGAAGTACCCCGCGGAGTTGTATCTCTCGCCGGGTCCGCTCTCTCAAAACTGGCCCAAGCGTTGGCCAGCACCCTGCACAGCATTAGTATTGGGGGCGCGAGAAAACGTCAGATATTTTGGTTGATTATACTTTTTGGCTTCAGTGCTATGCGCGGTATTGCGGGGCTATCCTAATTCAGCGCAGGCGGACATGGGCTTGGGACATCCCGTGGTATGGTACAAAGGACAATGGATTTATTTGTTTCCTCCGATAGTTCCTACATAGTGCTATTTTCTGCGTCGTCCCAACAGTCCGAATCCTTGCGCCCTTCGATGTACACCGCATCCATCTATGCCCAACCAAATGAAACGGTGCATGAAGTGGACTGTAAGAAGACATGCTGCTTGTGTGCTTAAAACAATAGATGCCTCGGGAGAAAAATGTCAGTCGACCACCATGAAAATAAGTATCAAACATTCTTTGTCTTTGCTGTTTCCCAAATGCACACAAAATTCGAGCTGTCCGTCGTGAACTATTTATTCCACAAGAACGAAGAGAGCAAGGTGAAGAAGATTGACTTACGACACATGTTGAGAAGTACTTCTACAACAGCAACCGATATCAGGGTGTACCAGGGTCTGACGAGGTTTTCTAGCCTCTGCTCCCTCTTCGTTTTCTCTAAATATGGTGCATATGGAGGTGGGAGTCTGATGGATGAACTTGCTCTTGCGTTGGGGTTTTGGTTGTTTGGTGCGTGACTAAAATGATGTTGGTGCTTGTGCTGTATACATGCCCAGCAGCTTGTGCTGTGCACTTTCAAAGCAGCAGAAGCAGGGGTAGTAACGTGGCTGGGAGAAAGTGGTCAGAGACAGAGATGAAAAGACGCGTTTGTTTGGAATTAAACCGAGAGGGAGGATAAAAGAAGAGAAAACATGGGCGAGACGAACGACTGGAACTTGCACACGGGACCAAAATTCACAACGGGATCGACGCTACCACCGCGCTGCTGTATCGCCGTGGATGGCTGTTCACGCCCCGCCCGGTTTCCGCATGGATCTGTTGTGTGTTTCATTGTCCTTGAAGATACCACCACATGTCCCACAAGAAGACTTATGTACCAAAACGTCGACTTTTTAAGAGAGGGTAACATGTCAGATAAGAGAAGACATGGCGAGCAATCATGTAAGCCTACGTAGCGGGGGCTCACCTCCTGCAGCTCGCCGGGGTAGCAGTAATGGCCGGGCCTGGAGCGGCGGCTCGAGTGTTTCTGCGGTCAGAGCTGACACCGATGATCTCATCGAGCCACGGTTCCAGGTTGCTTACACCTGGATAGTTCTCGTTTACTGCAACTGGAAGCCGGTTTCGCCAAAGGCTGACCTCAGAGGCGGCACGAGGGGTGGTGAAAACGGGGTCAGGAGACCTCCTCCAGCCGGCCTGTGGGGAAGTCATGCTTCTTCGAGCCACGTTTGCTGGTGCGGTGCTCTAGCAACAACGGCCAATATAACACCCTCTTCCTCCTGATGTGTACAATGACCTGGCAGCCTTGAGTCCTCCTCTGGTAGCCCGAGAAGATAAAGCCGACAAACCGTCGGGCTCGACCTTCGCGCGTAGTCCCGGGGGAGGAGAAGGATGTACCGTACGTCGCGCTCGTTCGTGGGCGATATGTGCTGCGCGCTTTGTGTCTTGGCTACTGCTGTCGTTGAGATAGGGGTGAATGACCAGGGAATGTCTGTGGGGGGAGAGAGGGAGATTAGGGGTGAGCAGCAACTCGCACAGATTAAACATCGTCAAGTTGGTCCGCCCGGGTAGGACCCGTTCACCCAGAGTTCCGCCGCGTTCTTTCGTCAGGATATTGCTCACTGCTGTACACCCCCTGTAGACACACACCAGCTCTGGCAACAAAGCTAGCCCGAGGAAGGGCTGCGGATTGGAATTGCCAGCCGCGGATAATACACGAGGATTTGCTCACTTTGTTTCACCACTAACACGCAGGAAGGAAGGAACGATCGTTTCCGCCTCCTGGCAAAGCGGTGTAACCGTGGACGTTTCGATGAAACGCAACTTATCCCACATCCCACCCACGCGGTCTCATTTTTCAATCTGCTTCACGTGTCGCGAATGAATCGAGCCAATAGAGACCCCTTAGGTGACGCGTGCGAACACGTATCACTATATATAAAAAACAGAAAGCACTATGCACGTATGTTCAGCGTGTCTGATACAACACACCCTGCTGACGCGCAATCTCGCGCAAAAAAAAAACGTGTACGTACATACACTACCGTAAAACCGTAATGTTATTCTTCCTAAATAACATGTAAGAGCCATTTTTCCAAATATCAGAACTGTTCGCTCGAGCGGGCCCGTACACTGATGTACAGCAGGGTTGCAACAGCGCATCGCAACTTGATTGGCAGGTCCTCGCTCGCTACATATTGTGTTTTGTACTTGAGTGAGCGATGTCCAGCCGAAGGGCACGAGAGAAAATAAATCAATTTGTACGGTCTATCTAGGGAAAGCGACGACGCCCGCAGTGTGTGTTTAGGCAATACCGAGCCGCATGAGGTTGTGGAGGTGAGAAGCACATAGAGCTGGTGGGCCCACACCACTCTCTTAGAACTGTAGGCTACGTAACGAACCGAGACGGAGGAAGAAACGATCTACAGTACACAACACTTCAGATCGTCAGTTTCTGATTTGGGGGCGTTTTCGGGTTGGTTGGCGATCCGGCACACTTGGCAACACCATCCTGTCGCCTCCTGAGTAAATGGAGGACACGGGCAGCAGCTAAAAGTGTTGCCATCATTTTGAGTCTTCGCAGTTCACTTGTCGCAAAGCCGAGCGCCGAGCGCCATGAACGAGGCATGGTACCTCCACGCTGCGCACGTGCAGCTATTTAGCTTCGGAGGCCGAAGCTCTTGTGTTCGGTTTTCTGCAGACTGCGTGTCCTTCGCCTTGATCGTGCTAAACACGACGGTGAGACATGAGAAATGTCAAGGCATCCTCACGCGTGAAATCGCACTTCACACGTGATCGACAGCAGTGTGCGCTCACATCGTTCAAAGACGACCTTGCGTGCATGCATGAGCATCAGCTTGCGGCGCAGCAAACCACAAAAAGTGGCTTGGAACATGTTTCTGTGTTGCCCGGTTTCATTTGTTGCCCTGTCGCATGTCTTTTCGTGTCCCACGCTACAAGCTACAGTTACTTCAGGCTTGTAGCGCTGTCCACACCACCAGCAGCGGTAAAAACTGCCGCTTGTGGGAGCCTCATCACACAACCTTCCCCGCCCACCGCACAAAAGGCCCAATCAAACGTACGTAAGCACGCAACATGGAGAAACGCCTCGCAAGTGCCGAAATCAACAAAAACGATGGCGCCAAACCTCGCACGTTCCTACTGCTACAGATTGCTTCGGGTCGTTGCGCGATCTCAAAGGGGGTCGTCATCGTGTGATTTATTTCGACTTCTTCTTGGCGAGCATCTTCTGGTAGAACTCGAGCTCTTTGCCTTCCAGGATGTAGCCATCGCAGCGGCCGGACTATCGCACACGGGAACAGACAAGAATGAAAAAACATGGGGAGCGAGTGCAGAGTTGACAAAGTTAGATACATAGAATTTACATGGCGGCAGGGATCAAGGACGGGACGAGGGGACATCGCAAGCAAACTTGACGAGAGCGCGCAAAGAACAACACAAACCACAGTCACAACAAAAGAACCGAAAGAGACCATCGTCATTGGTTAAAATCCTAGTCCTCATCCTTCACGGCTGACTTATGTACGTTTGGTCGGGTGAACGAAATCACGCTGCCCTGTTTTTTAGGACAGTCACACCCACACGGCCAATGAACCAAGGGAGGGAGGGACTACATACGCATATCGTGCTTCTTTCTCACAGCAAGCAACAAGCGTTCAACTGCGAGCGCACGGTGGCTCGACCCGACGTTCCATACACAAAAAACAAGAGCCGATACCCAAGCAACAGCAGTGTGACTTAGCGGCTGACGCATATTAGTCAGGTTAAGTCTGTAGCCATCTCCATCACATAAATATTCTCCTCCGGCTCGATACCAGCCGATGAACGACCGAAGTACAGCTTCAGTAAAAAAAGCAAGATAAACAACTCATGCCAGTACAAAAAGCCCAGCTTCCAGCCGGTTTCCTTTCAATGAAAAGACTTGACTGTCATTTTATATTCGAACCATTTTATATTCAAACTGGTAGTCTTTTATGTGTAGATTTTCTTTTCAAAAAACATTCTCTTTGACTACTGCTGTGGTGATGTGTCGAACGGATGTCTTTTTGGAGTGTATATTTCCTGAATAAAAACAAGGAACACATGGAAAGGTTCTCATCGTGCCGCGACACTGACCTGGCCGGGGCGAGAAGAGATGCACGCGAGGAAGCGGCCAGACGCCACCTGCTCGTCGAGGAGCGTGCTCAGGGTGCGGTCCGTCTGGCGCTTGGCCAGCTTGCGCTTTACGTGGTCAGACTTGGCCACGGCCTGCACGTGGGACGAAAAAAAACGAAAAAGATAGGTCAGAGGCAACCTGACGACAGCAAAACCATGGTAGCAGTTGGAGCATAAGCATTCGCGGCGTTGCTTTGCGCCCGTTGCATCGGCACCGAAGGGCAAGCACGGCGGTCTTGTGATGGTATATTGTCAATTTCTGGACCGATCATAGGGGTTGTACGTCAAAACAGAAAAAAAAACAAATCTGGGTTAAGCGAGTATGTCGCACCCATTGTGGCGTCCACAACACTTTCCATCATTATGTCCGACATACCATGCGCTGCACGTCATGGCTAAGGTTCACGTGAAGCCTGTGCCTGGATTGACAAAAAATAACGATACCAGAAATTCAACCGGTTGTGTATCTGGAAATTCGTGAAACTGTCCGGATGTAGCGATAGGATGTACCGTACTATTTCAGAGGGAATAGCGGGCCAACTTTCGCCAGGGAAACAAGAGGATCGCATCAAAGACTCGCACGAGTCATTCTACGTCGACAAAAACACAAGTCTCTCTCGAACCGTTGTTCCGCGAAAGCGTTAAGCCAGCATGACAAACAAACTGTACAATTCGTTCGCCAGCATGAAATCATGCACAACGGTGATGAGTTTTGTTCGATACAGGTGGTGTTACCAAGATGTTGAAGCACGCAGGACGGAGTGTGTACCCTCGAATAGCAAACAACAAACCACACTTGCACACAAAGTTGATCCGTGTTCGACACAACAGGTGAAGGGAGCGTCTCGCAGCGGTCTGCGTGCTCCAAGAAGCCAAACAACAACCCAGTCAAGACCAAGCGCAATCTTGTGTTGGATCTATGTACATATCGATCCCTCACCTCCTCTTCCACGGGGGCCGCCTTCTTGCCCTTCTTGAGCCCGATGACGACACCGTAGTGGTTCTCGTACCAGTGCTTGAAGGGGTGGGCGTCAACCTTGGAGGCCCAACACGAAACGTCAAGACAATCAATCCGTCAGAGGGCCCATTCTCCGGAGGGGGGGAGGAGCCTATCGCCATCCTATATTGACTTCTGAGGTGGCAATGTATCTGTTGTTTCACTACGGGCGCCAACCATCCGAAACAACAGGCTTTCTGGAGAGGGAAAGAGCTCTTGCGATCCGACATCAGCTTCGAGGCGGCGTATGTCCATTGGTTCACTACTGGCGTCAACCATAACGGCGTACTGTCCGGCAAAGGAGCTCTTGCGATTCTACCCCAACTTTGAGGCAAAAAAATGTCCATTGGTCTACATCTTTCTGGCATTAACTCATTCGGAACGGTGGACACTCCGGTTACGGAAGGATAATGGTAAAATATGCATATATGATGTACCACCCTTGTATAGACTCACCACGACGATGGCGTTCTTGACAAGGGTCTTCGTACGGACCAGCTCGTTGTTGCTGGCGTTGTAGACGACGTCGAGGATACGGGTCTTGCGGGTGCACACTGGCCATGTAGGGGCGTTGTCAGAGGTTCGATCCGAGGAGGGAAAGACAAGCGCGCGGGAATTGTTTCGAAAGAGCTTAGGCCTCGAGTCAAACAGAGCAACGCTAGGACAGAGCGCAAAAAGTCGTGTCAACAGCACGGAGAAAAAGCTCCGGGCTCTACGCACAACGGTGTTGTCTTTCAAAGGGGCTGTTGGTGGATTGCACCCAATAATCCTCGCGTCTGTGGTGAGGCACCTACTTCCAAGAACGATCAAGAGTCTCTCGCAACACCAGGGACGAATTTTACACCGCGCCAGAAACAAGCCTTCCTTCCACCGAGACAAATGCGATCTTGTTCATACGGTGCAGCGAGCCCATTGCGACGTCAAGTCAACAGGAAACTTGGGATTTCGGCCTAATGACGGAAAGCACAGGTTGCTACGGCCGCAACACCTCTGCAGGATTTGCCTGCCACCCGCAGAGTCCAACCGAGCAAACACCGTTACAAAACACAGGGGGGATATAAACCCTAATCGTCGTGCCCGCGTGTCTTGTGGACATCGCGCTGCCACAATTGCCCAGCTATGGATGTATGTACAATGCTGCTATTCTACTGATACACGTCGTGAAGCTCATAGAGTATGGTCGCTTGAACGTCTTCACTGTCAAGTCGAAGAGCGCCGCTGCTCGTGTGGCGAATCTGCACACCCCTTGCCGCTCAGCAAAGAGCCCAAGAGAGCGGAGACTCAAACCACGAGGACGCCAAGTTTTTACGATCATCGCTTCACGCCATGGCCTTGCGGCTCACGTTTTCACTACTACCGTCCGATGTACTCCGTGGGACAAGATTCGATGCAGCCACGCGATAAAAGCGTTTTTGTGTGCTCGCAAGAGGCAATCCTTTCACCATCGAACTTGACTCGTTGCTATTGCCCAAGTAGTGTTAACCAAACTAGACACTTCTGGCAACAATTCCATCAGGATGTACACTGAGTGCGGCGTAACCATCAACAAAACCAGGCCGTACACATCGGCAACGACAGCAAGGACAACACTCACCCTCCGTTCCCCAGCTGAAGTTGCCGCTGTCGAGCCTGAGCGCGCGGTACTTCATGTTGCCGCCGCGGCAACGCACGGGGTGGACGCGCTTGTGGCCGAGCTTGGTGTTGGCCGCGGGGCGCCCCATCTCGAACTTCCTCTTCTTCCTGTACTTGGAGCGCCGTCCGCCGGTCTCGCGGCGCTTGTGCCGAGAGTCCCTCGAGATACCTGTGCAGCAGGGGTCCGGGGATGAACAAACCGTAAAAATTCAGTGGTCAAGGCTTAAAACTCTAAATATGCCCAGTACCAGCCCCCTCTTGTTGCATGTATGTACACTTGTTGCGTCAACTGCGGGTCGGGGCTATTCGGTCACCACCTTTGAGTGCATGTAAATCCCTTGTCCTTCGGGTTGGCATTCAAACACTAGTGCATACTCGAGTTTAGAATACCATATCGGCAGTCAACGCAAGGCTACATGTACGCAGCAACGCCGACCTTCCCCGCCGCGCATCGTAACCTCCCTTCTATCCATCTAGCTCGGGAAGGCCCGCTGTGCAGGAAAACGGCTCAAAATTGTTCATGAACAACCAGGGAAATGGGGCCAACTAGTACTTGGCCCCACTTCCCTGGTTGTTCATGAACATTTTCGAATCGTTTTTTTGAACAACGGCCCCGCACGGGCTAGATAGATACAAGGGAGGTTACGAGCGGAGGGAAAGGTCGGCGTTGCTGCGTACATGTAGCCTTGAGTTTACTGCTGATATGGTACTAGGGTAGAGAGACAATCACGTGATGTCTCCAGCAACATTAGCAAGCACTGCTGCTAAACGAAGGCGGCAACCCCGGCGTTCCCCCGCCTAAGGCGCCGCCTTGTTGTCACAAGCCTTCGCGTGTGTTCAGCTGGGCCGGGGCTATCGAGTCGAGACTGTCCAAGGTGTCTTGGTTCGGAGGTCTAGTCTAACGGCGGATAAGGACGGTGCAGTTTGGCGCGGCAACTGACGGCAATTCGACGCCACGGATCCCACCAGCCCTGCAATCAGCAACGGGACCGTTCCCCGCCGCCGCCGTCAGCGAGGCCGGAGAAGTGGTACTATAGACACAAACGTAGGCCGCTTGTACAGAACGGGTCTTGGGATTAACTCTAGCGTCGCCGATACGATGTGATGCAAAAGCACCCAGTTTTGCGAAGCACTCGGTACAGCAGCAGTGTGTAGGTCAGCAGAAGATAGTTGATCCCGCGGTTGTCTGGCATCAGGCAGAATGGTGATTTCGTGGTTTCTTAGCCAAACCTCCAACGAGTTCAACGTCCCTTGCGCTTGTTAAAGAGATGGCGGCCGTGCTGCTCGAGTGCTGTCCACTACACAAGGTACACGTAATGTACCCTGCTGTGTCGAAAAGTTACAGAAGCAAAGCTCTGCTGTGTGTTTTGTGTCGTGCCTCCGAGAGAGACACACAGGGATTGATTGGCGCAATAACACAACACGGGGGGCAAGCCATCAAACACCCGGTGCAGAAGGCATAGAGGGAACACCGCACAGCAGCAAGGATCGACTGCCGACAAGTCTCGGCAACTCCTTGCCTGCCTGCGACATCCATGGCCACCACCCTTCCTCAGCCCAACACCGCCCACACACCAAGCGCTCCAATCAACGAAGGCAAACGGTATCGAGCTCGGAAAGGGATATGAATTCCCCGCCATGCTACGACCGCCATGCCTCGTGCACAGCTTATGCGGCTTGCAACCGTCCCGCTTTCTCCTTCCATCTCACGCTCCTGTGGCGGAGAGCGATGCGGGCGGCCGCGTTCGTGCGCAGCAAACGCTGCTGGGCCAGCCTTTCAAACTAGACGGCACACATATTTTGTGGTCAAACTCTCTCATTCGTTTTTAACGCTCTCCAACACGCAACAAGGACACGTCCACGCCCGCTTCACAAGACACCCACAAGTCAGGTACACTCACCCATGGCTGCACCAGGAGATGTCTGCCGACAAGGAACAGAGCAACTGGGATGCGACCAGCCACCCGCAGGACACGCTCGAGCCAGAAAAAAAAAACATTTTTGTCCCCGATCCCCGAGAAACACATCAGCTCGAAAATTGTGGAACACCCCTCTTGTACATTTCGCGTCGCCCCCTGTCGTCGATGTCGTCGTCGCTCGCGTGTGCAGGCGGGCGTACATCTGCCTCTGCCTCTCTCTCGCTTTCCACGCACGTGACCTGGTGCGTTGTCTTGCTGCCAAGGAGACACTCTGCTGTGATTGGGGGAACTGACATGCCGGGACCGCTACGGACGGGACCAGGATCCGAGACGCCGCCGCCTTCTAAGAGAGTGAGACGAGAGGGAGACGAAGCCACGACTAGCCCGCCTTCTTCAGCTGCTGCAGGTGCCAGCACGCACACAATGGAGAGGTGAGGCAACAGCAATAGCCATTATGGCCGGGCGTTCCACGGTCCCAATTAAGCCGGATAGAACACCTCGAGAATTGCCACGCATGATTGAAAATACTAAAATACTCATTACGAAATCCGGCCTGCAAGAAGCGGAAGTACCGTTCAACCGCGTACCACGAGCCTACGTTGCTGTTGAGCCGTACGGAAGCTCGCCTACCGACCTAAAAAAAGCGTTAAAATGCATGAAGTAAATGCCGAGTCACCGAAATAAGTAGTCACACGGATAACGATGTTGGCTGTTGTTGCGTAAGTAGCTTTAAAATACGCATGCGAGACGTGGCCTTTGACATTGAAACGTGTTCGGGTATCCGCTGCCCTGCTAGGGTACGTGAGGACAGTATATATGCGTACCTTTAGCTGTTCTTCTCCAAGCGAGCGGGACGGAGCGTTGGCTTATAAGTGAACGAACATCATCACATTTGTATTAAGGAATAATAAAAACACACACAGAAAGACTACCCATTCGAGATATACCCACAGTCGAACGGGATGTGGTGAAGTCTTTTCAGTGAGTGAAGGGAAACCGGCTGGGTACTGGACATATTTCGAGTCTTTTAAAGTCTACACTGATGATTTATACCAGTGATGCCAGCTGGTGCTAAGTACAAAAACATCTGTATAGGTAACTTACATTTTACAATACATTTGTATGCAAGCGAGCACACAATGGACGCATACATACACAGCAGTCCAGAAACTCTATAGGAAACGGCTCATTTTTTAGTGTTGGCTGCATTGTGTGTTGTAGTGGTATGCACGCGTAGTGAAATCTGGTAGGCCCGTCAAGAATAACTCACCTGCTGTTACTCTTGCGGAACAGCATCAGCAGTAGCTGTTGCCTTGGGTATGGGTAGGAATGACACGGAGGGGCCCAGGATCAGTAGTGTTTACACATTGATAGTAACCAAGGCTCCCCAGGATCCTCTGCTCAAGCAGGGGCTACTATGATCCTGTCCCCTGTTTTATCCTTCCGCGGGGAGTTACATCTCTCCGCGCCTTCTAGAAGGAACCATGCTCTTCTATATTCCGTCTACACATCTGAATCCTACAACACTAGCCCACCCTGGAGGTTCTCATACGCAGATACTATAAAACCTCGGAGCTTGGCAAGCTATTGTTGAGTCCCTAAATGAGAGTATCGAGGATGTGGAGCCTCCAAAACAGCACAATTCACCCTCCCACACCTCTCACGATGAGTCACAAGACCATCGTTTGACTTCTAAAACGACAAGAAGACACAGGAAGGAACTGACTGGGGCTAAGAAAAGACGACCAGGACCGGAACAAGGTCGAAACCGAAGAAAATAAGGAAACCAGAAGGAAACAAGGCTCGTCAGAACGACAAAAAGAAAGGAGCCAAAAGTCGTCGGAACGACAAAAAAAGAAGAACGCCGTCGGAACGACGAAAAATAAAAGGCCTGTATCGACAAAAACGACAAGATACGCCACGACAGCGTAGGAACGACAACAAAGGGAACGAAACACCTACAGGTCGTGACCAAACGCTAAAGGCACTAAGGTGAGAAGAAAACGAAAACCAACCAATGCTAAGAGCGATGCAAACAATGCAGGAAGCAACCCAAACAACGCCAATAGCAACAAAAGGCACAAAAAACCAAGCATGTCGTCTTAATGGAGGCGCGTAGCGTCATCAGGCAACGAATCGGTCAGGGACCTGGCCACTTCCGTGGCGAGGTCCCTGACCGATTCATTGTCCTGCGGAAGGAAGTTGAACTGATGGTACTGGGCGACATCAGCCAGTTTCGCCGGGGGTGAACCGGAAGTCGCCGGACTCGAATTTGACGGGGCCCTTCCGCGCCGACGAGAAGCTGGTGACCGGGCGGGACGAAGCAGCAGCCGCGTACGTGCGGGGCGAGGCGGTAGAAGTAGACGATGCTGACGTAGCTCTCCCGTCTGCTCCCGAGGCGCGGGGCGATCGCTCCGCACGCTCGCGAAGGTCCTTCTCACGTTGTTTGCTGGCCTTGCGGGCAGCTTCTACGAGGGCGTCCTCCTTGCGCAGGTCGGTGGTGTTTGTGGCGGCAACCTGGCTCCGTTGACGGTCGTACTCGGCTTGTAAAGGCTCCAAGTCGAGGATGGCCTTGGAGTTCTTGTCCCGCTTGAAACGCAGGACCTCGAGCTCCTCCTCGCGGGCGGAGACTTCTTGCCGGTATTCGGAGTCGACGAGGTTATCCTGCGCCTGGAGGGTGGCCGCTCGATCGGCGTCAATGGCCACGTTCCCTAGCCGCCTTATTGCTGTAGATCGCACGTTCCCTAGCCGCCAGTTTCGCTTGTGCCTTGACTCCGAAAGGGCAGATAACCCCAGCATTTGTTACCGGAAGAGCGGCCTGAGTCTCGGAGAACAGCCGAAGGTCGCGCTGTACTTCTAGCAAATGTCCTGCTGTACCCGGGAACACCCATGTCCAATTGCGCGGCAGCAGTGAGGGCTTCCTGAGGGGCAACCGCCGCGCCCATTTGGGGGTTGACTGCTACACTTTCATCCCCCCTCCCCCTCGCCCCTCGCCTCTCGCCCCTCTTCTATCAAAGAGAGAAAAAGAACCCTCTGGGACAAGGCGGTAAAACCCAAGCCAAGAACTCTTGTGACCCCATTAGACCTGCAACCGGCCCCAATCGTTGCCGCCCATTCCGGAACGGTTTCAACGATAAGTGGTTGGGCTACAACTCACACCCCAAGCAAGCGGCGGAAGTATTTCATCGCCCACATCCTTCCGCCCCTTGTGTTCAGTACCAGGTCGGTCGATATGGTCGCAGCAGCCCCCTCGGCGGGAGAAGCCTCTCAGACTTCGCTGCCGACCCCTGCTCCGGCTGTGGCGGCGGTGGCGTCGACGGCGCTTCTGTGTCGGTGGGAGGAGGTGCTGCTAGCGGACACGCTGAGGTTCAGCCTGGACCCGGCGGTGGCCCGGGCGAAGCGAGTGCTGCACCTGGGGGGCCTGCAGGGGGAGCTCCGCGAGGAGGAGAAGGAGGGCGGTTGGTACGTTTTTTTTTTTTTTCTCTCGAGACAACACACTAAACCCATATCTGTGGACAGATATGGGTCTAGGATAGTTTGGTAGTGATTTCGTGGCGTTAGTTTTGTATTCGTGCCCCCGCCGCCCCCTCCCTGTAGGCGAGCGCTCATGGTTCGACCCAGCGGCGGTATTTAGGAAATCTGAGTCGCGGAAACGGATGCCAGCGGGCAAGGCTGTCTTTTGTCTCCAAGCCCAACTGGTGAACCGCTCGCCCTTCCTCTCGCGACCGTCAAGAATTCCGACCGTTTCTTGGGGCCGGATGTTTTGTTCTGCGTGAAGCGTTCGTCGTGCTTTTTGGGTGGTTTCAACCCCGAGTGTCGCTCAACGACCCCTTTTGTCGACAACAAGCTTTACAACCAGCACGGCACGCTCCGTGTCGCTCAACGACCCCTATTTGTCGACACCAATATTTGCAACCAACACAACTTCGCGGTGTCGCTCAACGACCCCTGTTTGTCGACAGCAAGCTTTGCAAACCAACCTGTCGCTCAACGAACCTTTTGTCGACGACGAGCTTTATAATAATACTGTACAACAACACAACACAACGCGCAGGAGCTTGGACTCTAGGAGTTTCTTCGAGCGCCTCCTCCTCTCGAGGCTCAACGACGGCACCAGCCTCGCCGACATCGGTGGCGTGGAAGCCGCCGCCGCCGCCCCGGCCTCCTCTTCCTCCTCGAGGGCGTCGCCCCTCGCTTACATGATTGGCTGCTACGAAAGGTAACTACTTTGTTATTTCATCTACGACGACTACAGTAGGAGCGCGCAACGAGGCAACAGGGAGGGGGGGGGGCTTCTTGCGCATCGGACAATGGGCAATTGCATTGAGGCTGACTCTTATGGCAACCGAAAGTTGGCCCGACGGATTGTTTTTACTGGCATTCCCCCACCCCCCTGATTTGCCACGGATTCGACCAAGAGACAGACCTCTCACCACATCACCACAGAGTTCTCCCTCCATGATGGTCGGATCGTCACCAAAACTTGAAGGCTGTACGCACCACACCTGTAGGCGTCTTTGGAGCTAGTGGTGACTGCTGTGGGGTCTGTGTGTGCTATCTCTCCACAGCAGAAAGAATGGCAGTGCTGAAAACAGCGGCATTGAAACCGTCCCGTCCAGAGCTTTCCGAAAACGCATTCGTTTCATTTTGGTGTCCTCATCATCGTGGAATATTCGACCCTTGAAAATCGTTCTAAGGGGCGTGGTATCTCGTGTCACCTACGGTACATCGTACTTGCCGCGGGCCAGTCAGTTCTCCGTGGTTGAGGGGGGGGCGAAAATCTCGCCGCGTGAACCACCACCTCTACCTCGGCGGATTTTCTTTGGCAGGGCGGTGCAGGCGGGGAAGGGCCCAGCTCCCCGTCACAAGGGTGCGTCCGTGGGGGCGCTGAGAGACTCCGCCGTGCGGCACCTGCGGGGCGTTCTCGTCACGTACGCCATCCTCACCATACAAAACCCCGACATGTGGGGCGACGAGGTGAGTTTTGATCGTTGATCGCCGCGGGGGAAGTTGATCAACGCTCACCAAAGCCCTACGTAGTGTCCTCCTCTGCGCAGCTTTTAATCGCTTCCGTCCCACGCGTGTGCTGCAAGGTTGGTTGTGATGTTTTGTCTAAACGATACCCCGGCTCTTCGCTTGTTTGAAGGGAAGCGGCAGCGATAGTATTAGGTATCGGAAGCGTCACGAGTCGAGCGTCGTTTCAAGCGGGATAGTAACCCATCCGCTTCGGCAAACAAGAAAAACGCCCCGAAATTCCGGCTTCCTCTCGAATGGATGTCATTGATCCATGGTTTGTGCGGCCCCTTTTGGGAACGGGGGTCGTAAACACGTCTTCCGTAGGGCTTTTCGTTCGAGCGGCGTGCTCCTTTTGGCCACTGGTGTGGTGGGGTCCGGTCGGTGAGCGACGTGCGTGCCTACTGTTTTTTCGCCAATCTTTCGCCCGAGAGTGCCCGCCTGCGGCGAAATAACCCTGCCCCTTGTTGTGCTCACTGCCGACGGTGCTGGCTTGTGTGTGCGCGCGTGCGTGTGTTACTGTTAGCTTTGACTGCGCTAACCGGCTGACCAATCAGAAGGCGTCAGTATCAATGCGACTGAAAACAGAAAACTCTTGTAGAGGCCATGATCCGGAGGTGGGACCCCGTCCGTGTGCTTGTGCGCCCACGCGCATGCGATGTGTGTAGGTTTATTTCTAGCATCGACCGCGCTAACCGGCTGACCAATGAAAATACATCAGTCTCAGCGTGTGTGCCTCCGTGTTGCTGCTGCGCAGGACGACGACGCGCCCGGAGGTGGCCCCATCTCAGAGCTCAAGAATCTCTTCCGAAAGAAAGGGGCAGCGGCTCTGCCACAGGTGACGGAAGGGGTACATAGGGCGTTTGTCTTGGTTGATTGGATCGGCGGATCTGGCGTTCGTGCGCGGTGATTTTTAGACAGTATTCCTGTGAACACAGATAGATTCCCCCTTGACCACGGTATTTTTGTTGCGGCCAGCGATTGCGCTGCGCACGGTTACGCTTTTTTGTTGCTGTTTTCTCGGCGAGGACCGTTTTTTTTTTTTCCCACCGTTACCCCGTGTCGCGTGTATGTTTTTCGTGCGTCTTTGGCTACCTTTTTGACCCCGTTGTTTCACGGCTGTTTCGATGTTGGGGGGGAGAAATTACTCCTGTGTCCCCTCCCACTGTTGAATTGGTCCCCTCGATGTGACGTGTGGGCTCTGTACTGCAACAGGGACTTCTGGACGACTTCATTCGAAGCACCAGCGGCGACGCGGCTGGGGACAGCGGAGGGGTCACCCTCGAAGAGCTCTTCCAGCCGGTAAGTCCCCTATGTCCACGCGCAAGAAATGTGTAGTTCCCACGAAATATAAAACGTTGGGCTTAACTCTTGGCACCTGGTCCTATCGTTGGAAACTTCTTCAGCGGGGTCAGGAAAGGGATTTAAGGCAGCGTGCTGAAATGCTTCCGCGTTTTATCAACAGGCCGACGCGCGTTCTGGTGTGCCGAACGTGCGTGTTGACACGATGGCAAAAGGGATTGTGTTGTATACGGCACACGCGGGAGTTCTATCTAGTCGGGTTTTTTGCTGCTGACACACGACGCCTGTATGCGATCGGTAGCACACCCATACCTGTACCGAACGCTGCGGTGCGGTCGGTTTGACTTGCACGCTCGCAGCAGCCGTACCCGTACGGCAGTAGACAATTGTGGAGGTGCTGTGTCGTCGTCAAGTCAAGTACGGATTGCTTTCCGCTAGCCACACCTGGCGCTCGCCAGGGCGCGGGCGCAATCTCTGTCCTCCCGATCTCTCTTCTACCCGTTGCTCTCTCCCGCCCTTTTTCCATATTTGCGGTCTGCCCGCCATCCAACCTTGACCCCTCCCCCCTCGACATATTCCACCATTCATTATTGTTGTAGCCTCCCCCCCTCCCCCCGTCCGGTTTGGCACAGCACGCGCAAGGATGATAATTGACCAGCTTCTGGTTTCTCCTTGGGAAACGCAGCCTGGACCGGCATATCGTTCCGCCCCGGCATTGTAGCGATGCGAGGTCAATAGTCTAACGACTACGGCATGCGTTTACATGAGTACACCCCCGCCCCCCCCCCTCTTATGCCGCAGCTGCTGCTGTCGTTGGTGAACGACGCGGCGGAACTATGTTCCCGAGCGGACCCCATGGCCGCGATGGGGGAATTCGCCTCCGTCGTTCAGGCCTTGGCGGCCCTGGTGGCTTGGAAACCGCTGGCCGGCCTCTTCGCAAACCTACCGGAGTGAGTAGACGGATGACGGGGGTTGCTATCGTTTTGGCTACAACTGGGGGGAGGGGTGTGTACTCATAGCCGTGCATCCCGAAGTCGTTAGACCATTAACCTGCTATCCCTACAAAGCCGGGGC